TCAATAGGCAGTGATGGTTTCCTTTGCTGTACAAGAGATTCTTGAGTATACATTTTTGTTGTTTTCGTCTGCGAGCCCTCTCACAGAACAGGGTTCGGGGGGGTGGGACTGGCAGGGCAGGGCACTGAATCACCAGGCAGACTCTGGGGAGGTTTCTGGAACGCTTCCGCTTCATTGAGGAAATGAACGGGTTTATATAGGGTAAGGTGGGGGTGGAGCCAGGGTGGCACTATTGGATCTCTATTGGATAGGGTAAGGCAGGGGTGGAACCAGGGTGGAGTCGGGATATTTGGCACATTGTTATTGGCCACGTGTTAGTTTTGGATTGTATGCTTTAGGGGCTGAAGCGAATGGAGGCAGGACTTTAGAGGTTCTTGAGAGGAACAGTTTATCTGTCTAAGGTCAGATCTCTACACACTGGAGGGGGCAGATTATTCCAGCCCTAATAGGCCTCAGAGTTTTCTCATGAGAGATGGGTATGGCGCTCCTGACTCAGCCAGACATTAACCTGATCCTCACATTTTAACTCCATTCACACACAAACACACACACACACACACACACACACACTTTTTTTTTTTTTTTTTTTTTTACACATAAAAAAAACCTCCCACCCTTTTTTTTTTTTTTTTTTTTTTTAGTACCAGGAACGGAAATCAGGTCCTTGTGCTTGTGAGGCAGGCGGTGGAACCACTGAGCCAAATCCCCAGCCATACAAAAGATTCTTAATTTGATTTGGCCCCATTTGTTGATTCTTTGTATTATTTGTTGTGCAACCAGGATTTTGTTGAGAAAGTGTTTGCCTATGCCTATGTCTTCAAGAGTTTACCTGTTTTTTCTTAAAGCAGATTAAATATTTCTGTTCTAATGTTTAGATCTTTGATGAATTTTGATTTTAGTTTAGTGCATGGTGAGAGATATGATAAAGAGACTCTCTCTCTCTTCCAGCAAAGGTGTTTGTCCCCTTTTTCAAAGGTCAGATAGCTGAGTGTGCCTGAAGTTGTTTCTGCATCTTATATTCTGTTCCATTGATCCACAAGTCTTTATTTTTGCCAATACCATGCTGTTTTTATCACTTGGTAGTATAACTTAAAGCCCAGGACTATAATGTCCCTTATGTAGCCCTTGTTGCCCAGAACTGCTTTTGCTATTCTAGGTCTCCTCTGGTTCCAAAGGAATTTTAGGATTTCCTTTTCTATTTCTGTGAGGTACATTGTTGGTATCTTGGTTGGGATTGCATTAAATCTATAAGACAGTTTTAGAAGTATAGAGCTTTTGACTTAGCACCATTATGGACAGTAGTCAAAAATAGAACCAATCCAAAATTCCATCAACAGATGAAGGAACAACCAAAATTCAGTGTGAAATATCCACACAACAGAATATTATGATGCCAAAAGATGGAGCATTGATGCCTACTATAAAGTGGATGAACCTAGAAACGGAATGGAGTGGCAGTTACTGGAGGGGAGAGAGAACTGAGAGCTGTTATGCAATAATTGCAGAATTTCAGTTTGAAACAATGAAGAAGTTCTGCAAATACATAATGGTGATTGTGGCGCAAAACTGTGACTGTCGTTAATGCCACCAAATCGTATGCACACTTAAAAAAGATTACAGTGGCAAGTTTTACGTGATGTACATTGTATCACAGGTTTTTTTTTAATTTAATTTATTGGTACATTCTAGGCAGACAGTACAGTTGCATTCATTACTGTGATCTTGAACCTTTACATGCCAGGTCTTGGTTCTCATTTTGTATCACAGTTTTTTAAAAAGAAGCTGGACGCAAAAGAATACTTACACATGTTTCCATTTTTATGAAATTCTAGAACAGGCAAAAGTATTGCAGTGTGAGATCAGGACAGTGGTGGCCTTTGGAAGAGGGTAGGCAAAGGGAAAACTACTGCTGGGCTAACTGTAAGTTGTGAGTGGAAACTACAGTGAATGTTTAGAGAAACAACCATCACAGTAAGAGATGCATCGCTGTGAAACCCCCCTCAAAATCCTCCCCCTCACTTTGCACACTTAGCCCATCCTTCCTGCCACTTGCTGGAAGCTCTCTCTCACGAATGCCTATAATTGTGCAGTCACACCTGCCCCCGAGTCCTGAGTTGATTCAAACTGTTGCCCTTTTAGGGTCATTTGACTTTGAGGGAGAGCCACAAGCGTGTTCAAAGCAAGGAGTACTGGGGGACTGTTAACGGCAATGTGTCTCTTGGAATGTTTATTTAAACATTCACTGTACAATTTGATCACGCCTCATGCTTTTGGCCATGGTAGAAGAAGTTACACACATACACACACACACACACGCGCGCGCACACACACACAAGCTGAAATTATTAAGCTGTCATTTTACAGTATCTAAATTATATCTGCATTTAAAAGCGGGAAATACAAACTGGGGAAGGCAGCAATTTTTGCTTGCATTTCTGCACCCCCTTGATTGTGAAGACAGGTGCTCTGGGTGGACCTGCCCTCAGGCCGTCACTGTGAGGGGGCAGAAGCTCACAGTGTCCCTAAACCTTCATACTAGGAATGAAGAGAAACAGCCTCTTGCCTTGGTCACTCCAAGTGAGTGTGATAACTCTAGTGCATTTAGGAGGCTTCTTGACATTGGGGATGGGCACAGGGCAATGGGATAAGGAAGGGAGCAGAGAAGAACGTTCCTAGGTGATGTGTGTACCCCTGCCAGGTTCTGGGGGGTGCTGAGGGTGGTGATGGGCAGAGGCGCGGCAGGAGGGGGTCCAACTTGTCGAATGCAGCTTGCAGATGGGCAGAGGTGGTTGGGGCACTGCATTCCCAAGAGACTGTGTGACTCTGGCACCCGCAGTGCTGTCCTGGGAGCACAGGGTGGAACAAAGCCATAGTCAAGGCACACTTTCTCCTCACACCTCCCAGGTCTCTTTTTGGAGCCTTCGAGGCTCAAGTGATTTGGAGGACTGGGTCTCAGAACCCTTGGTTTGCAGGATTGCCAGCTCCAGCTCAGGCGTGGGGGTGGGGCAGCCAGCCTGCATCCAGCCTCCGCGCTGGCAGCCCGGGGACCATTGTAACTTAGGCACTGGAAGTTAGGATGACCTGTCTATGCCCACAGTCAGCAAAGCTGGACAGGACCACTGCATATGCATAACTCGGCGGGGGGGTGGATTAAGTGTGCATGTCATTTTTTTAGTAATGTGCTACTATATGTATACTATTTTGCATCCACTTGTATTTCTACCAAACATTTTCTTTGTCATTAAAGACCTCTGAGACAATGTCCTTGAAATCAGGAGTTTTGCCCAGTGGCCAGGCTCGCCCCCACCTCACACTGGTAACCGTCACCCTCCCCTCCTTCCATTCTCCCCTGCGTCCTCCACTAAGAGTGAGCTCTTTCCCTGGGTCCCAGTACCCCCTGGAGTCCTGGCTTCACTCCTTCCGCAGAGCAGCAGAGGGACTTGTTTTCAGAAGCAGGGCAGGCGGCACGGGTGACCCAGTGTCAGCCATTAGGGAGGGGAACATAGCGAGGCAGCAAGGGTTCCCACCCCGTCCCCAGCTCGCCACGCTCGCTAATTAAATGTAAGAGGGTCCTGTCACTGCTGTCCCAGCACCCAAGTCTTCCAAGTCTCCAAGGTCCATGCTGTTTGCCTCCACACAAAGTAACTCTAGTGGGGACAAAATAATTTATCAAGAAATCATGCAGTAAAGCCACAAACCACTTTTATTTCATTGCTACCAAAAAAAAAAGAATAGAATTAAGGCAGAATAATACATTCCTGCTTATGCTTACAAGCTTTCGTATATAGTAAACTTCACTTAAAGTGTCAATTTGAGTCAACACTTGAAATGTTTGTTAAACAGCAGTATTTTTTTCCCTTGAATTCTAGAGAATCATTCCCTGGGCTGTCAAGCGTGCTGATGCAAGAATGCTACAGTGTCACATCGTGTGTCACTGCACCTCAGCCAAATGTGCTGCGACTGAGGGGCATTGGCTTCTTCCTCTTCATCAGAGGGACAAGGCTTTTGGCAGAGTACGGCATACTCCATTCAGTTCTGGCTGCCAGTTATTATCGAAAATTCCCTTGCGAATGCAAAAGAAAAATGTAAACACTGTAAAAACGTCAACGTGTTAAAAAACACTCCAAGGTAAAAGGTAGTTACGAATTACAAAAATGACTAATTGAGCCTAGCAACCGTTAGTTTTGATTTTGAGAGAAATTAGTTATGAGTGAACTTCTGTGTGTGGAACTAAATGAAGGAAAATCCTGGCCAACACTAAAAGAGTTAATAGACTAAAAATAGGGTAAAAACATCTCACCATTTGCAACCCTGTTTGACTATAAAAATCAGCACCCATATTTGAATTTTCACAAAATACAAATAATTTAGTGCGAATGTATTTTCCCTTTTGCCACTTGATCTCATAGGCATAAGTTCATTTTAGTAAGATGTTATCAAATTGTATTCTTCAGATGTGGGTCACATTTTGTCACTGTCTTTTGGAAAACAAACTTTTGAGTGCTCACACCTTCTCATAACTGCTTTTCTGACTGCCGTTGAAAAGTACAACATAGACTTAAAGCAGTTAAAAACATAAAGCTGTGCAGTCACCGTCACTTGTGAGAAGGTCACCAAGGCACACCCTTCCCACAGCGTGGGCACTCCTCCCCCACCGGGAGTGGGAGAAAGTGGGAGCAAAAGAGGAAATGGGCAAGAGGGGTGAGGGCAGGAGTGGGGAAATCCGAGTCTAACACTTCTGTTTCCGGGGTCACTGGGGGCTGAGATCAACCGTAGGAGGAAAGGGAAGCTGGGAACAACGGATGTCAAACTTGAGGGGAATTTGACCTGGAAGATAGCGAGAGCCACACACACTTTTTGCAAGTACATGGTGTCAAGGAGGAGTATGACAGAAAGATAGGTGTCAGTTTCCGCGCGCGTGTCTGCGTGTGTCTCACTTTGGATTACATGTGCAGAAGCTGGAAAGTAGGCCGCCTCCTGGCCACTCACAAGAGCACTTTTCACATGGCCATCTCATCAGATTCATCTTCAACATCCACAACCACCATGTCGTTGCAATCTTTGGTGGCAGTGGTGGCTACAGTAGGGTCAGAGAGGTCGGCAGCAGCAGCAGCAGCAGCAGCGGCAGGCTCCTGCCGGCAGACAGGGGGCTCCGGCTGGCCGACAGGGGGCTCTGCCTGGTGGACACGGGGCTCCGGCTGGCAGACAGGGGGCTCAAAGGACACCCTGGTAGGGCTGGAGACAGACTCAGGGAATTTGATGATGGCAAGGTCAGAATGAAGGTGTCCAATAGTGGCCCTCTTGGGGTAGCGGGGGCCAGGGAGTTCAGGGGGCCCAGTAATAAGCTTGATGTGACCAGTGGTGGATCTAGGGTAGTTAGTGGCTGGGCCAAAGGCAGCCCTGGAGTAGCTGCGAACAGTAACATGACTAGTGGCAGGCTTGGAAGCTGACTTGAAGTGCACAGTGTCACCCTTGAAGTGGACAGAGGCGGGTTTAGGATGGACAGAGACAGACCTGTGGTAGCTAGAGGCAGATTTCCGGTAGACAGAGGAGGACCGGGAGTGGGGTCTGGGGTAGCCAGCTGCAGCATCGCCAGGCAGTGGAACATTCCGGCAGGTCATCAGGATTCCCTCCACAGCAGGACTGCCACGGGCACCGTCTGGCTCACGGGCATGGTCGGGGGTGTGGGTATGGTCACGGGCCCGGGCCCGGGCCTCCCGCATCTCACGAACAGCAGTGATGAGGTCAGAGATGAACAGGATAGGGTGCCGGATGGCATGGAAGACAGTCCAGTATTCTCTTCGGAAATTCTCATTGAGGAGCCCATAGACCACAGCATTGAGGCAGCTGTTGAAGAAGGCTATGGAGTACGCTGCAAGATACAGCCAGTTGGGGATCTTGCTTGCCATCTCCTTCGGACCAACAGCCACCAACACGGTGAGCATGTTGATCGGGCCCCAGCACACTGCAAAGAGGAGAAAGATCACAAACATGGTTAGAAAATTTCGAACCTCAGCACGTTGGTTGTCAGGATTCTGCCCAGCTGGGTCACGGGCTGCCAGCACTTTTCTCCAGATCCTCATGTAGCAGAAACCGACTATGAGGAGAGGAAGGAAGAAGTGGATGCCAACGATGGTCACAGTGAAGCCAGAGTTGTTGAGGTAGTTGAAGATGCAGGTGTAGGTGCGGGGGTCGTACTCGATGGTGCCTATGTACATGTTGGGCAGGACAGCCAGGATAGCCATGACCCAGGTGACGACCAGGTAGATGCAGGTGTTACGCACACTGAAGATCCGCTCATACTTGAGGCTGTGGCAGATGTAGCAGTAGCGGTTGATGGCGATGGCCAGGATGTTGAAGACGGAACCCACCACGCTCAGCCCTGTGATGAAGCCAACCATCTGGCACTGCAGCTGGCTGAGATCCCAGCCCCCAACGGACATTGCGTGCAGCATCATGGGGTAGGGGTAGATGGCCATGAGCACATCGGCCGCGGAGAGGCTGACCACAAAGATGTTGGCTGCAAAACATGGGGAGGGGGCAGGACAGAGAAGAGGAACTGGTTAAAGTGTGCAGATCTACAAATGAAACTGGAGGAAAGGCCGGCGTGACCGGTGACAAGTCCAAATTCGGGATTCCCTTAAAGAATGCAGCTATGATTTTATGTTTATGTACAAGTAGGTTCAGGGTGACTAGGATGCAAAGCCACATTTGGGAGAGCGTTCCTCTGCCCACTTTCTTTTCCTTTAGATGTCACCTGTACTGAGGGGTGGGGGCAGCGGACAAATGACAGAGTGAGCACTGAAGGATGGTACGGAGGCACAGCTGCACTGACACCATTTTTGAGAAAAACAAAAGGCAAACTGTGTTTCACACAGAGTAAGGAAAAGGGGTAGCAGCGGGTTAGACAAGAGAAGACACTGAGAAAGGACAAAAAGTCCATTTTCCTAAATATGTGTATCCAAGGGAATTAGACAGTAATCTAAGCCAAAGTCCTGCCAATACCTACCCTCTAAGAGGGAAGCTTGTGGTAAAGTGGGGGTGGGGCTATGACCAAAGGAATAGTGCTTGTGCCCGTGCGGGTGGGGGGTCTGCACTTGCGCACTGGGAGCAAGGGGATCCCTGCCAGTTCTGGCAGAAGTGCCTCTTTCACACCTGTCCCGCAGAGCTGGTCACCGGTCCCTGTCGTGACACTGAGCCTATGGGCTACCCAGGAAAGTGAACAGGACCCACGCCCCTTCAATCAGGTTGTGTAGGAACCTTTTTGTAGTAAAACCTTTCCCAAAGAGGAGAAGCAAGAGGCCAAAGGCAGGCGCCTAGAGCTTTCTTTGGAAACACCTCATTATTAATTAGCACTGGTTTGGCAAAATACCACCCTGCATCTTGAACTGGGAGAAAATGAGGGCTTTTAAAGGGCAATGGGTCTGGCTCCTTCTGCCTCCTTTGCGGGTGCTGCCAAGATTCCACTCCAGCACTCAAAGTGATGAATCCAGGAAGGAAAAGTGACCGAGGGCAAAGCCTCTCTTTTAAAATAAAAACCACAACAACCAGAAAAATGTTTATTTGGATGAGAAGGAAAGTAAAGTCAAAGGGCTTCGCAGGTGGTCCCCGGGGCTCCGTGGGTTGGCACATTCGGACCGCGCTGTGCGAGTGAAGGTGGGGTCCGGGGCGCAGGCCCCCGCCTCTCTGGGTTGCGGAGAAATCGGATGACCCTTCAGCGCTTAAAAGAAAACTTTCACTGACTGCGTGTCAGTCGCTGTGGTCAGAAACTCACGCGGTGTGTGCGACTCCTCATCGCAGCCAAGCAGCCCGAGCCAGACCCCAGCCTCTCCTCTCCCCCGCGACCCCTCCTCAGCCAACCGAGACCTGGGAGACCAAGACACTGGGGACCACCCTCTGCCTTCACCCCTGA